TATTCGGGTGAAGACGGTAGCTTCCTGTTCCTATGTTATCATCATATTAGAAGGCTCACACTTCAACCCTGACACTACAGTCTTCCCCCGAATACAACGTACCGTCACTGAGCTGAATTTGGTCTATCTTTCCGTCTAAATTCAGTTATAATGACCGTACGTTGTATTCGGGGGAAGATTGTAGCTTCCTATGTCCTCCCCCGTCCATAGGTCTAAAGCATCATCCCTTGGCTTTTGCTTCGTTGAGCAGACTGTCAATCTGGGCGGCTAATAAGCTCATTTTAGGCCTTGATTCGTAGTCCTCAACGACGCATTCTGCCGCCAAGCGCAACGTCTCAATCACCACGCGATTGAATGACAGCTCCTCCGCTTGATCCCGCAAGGGTCCAGGATCTCGGACAGCATCATCGCTTCCGTACCCCCATCGGCATTTTCGAGGAGAGGTTTCGCCCAGTCCACAAGCATCAGCCAACCCACGCCACAGGCTGCCGGCGACACCGCCTTTCTCCCCGTCATTAGCTCCAGCAGGATCACGCCGAAGGCGTACACGTCTATCTTCTCCGACAGAATCCCTGACCGAATGTACTCGAGCGCCATGTACCCGATTGTTCCCGCCATGTGCGAGGTGCCTCGTGCTCTGTCCCGAACACCCTCTCTCCGATGGTTGCCAGACCGAAGTCCGCTACAACGACCCGCAGCTTCTTCCCGGCGCCATCGCCAAGAAGCACGTTGCTGCTCTTGATGTCCCGGTGGATGATCGGGGGGTCGGCACCGTCGTGAAGGTAGGCCAACCCCTTGGCGATCTGCAAGGCGATGCCCAATCGCTCCATCAACGTCAGAGGCGGGAGAAGGGGTCTACCGGGCACAGCTGTCTCTCTTTTGTGAAGGCGAGCGTACAGACTGCCGCCCGGGAAGTAGGGGTAGACCAAGATGGAACGATTTCCCTCGTCGCAGTATCCAATCAATTGCACGAGGTTGGCGTGATGGAGTCTGCTCAGCGCGTTCACCTCGGTAATGAACATSCGGCGCTTGGCCGGAGTAAGTTCGCCCGACATCAGCTTGATTGCYACTTGCTGATTTGTGCCGATCGATCCCCAGYAAACGTCGCCGAAAGCCCCGCTGTCCCCAATCCGATAGCTTTGGCTGAAATCACTCGTGCAGTGAGAAAGCGCTGCCAGCGAGAATCGCTTGACCTGGATCGGCTGAGGCTCCTCGATCCCATGTTGAACACCTCCTGACCCCGATGGCGCGGAAGTGGTGGTCGTTGCTGTTATAGGTACTTCTATGCCATTATGGGGTGCAGKTCTGGACACTGGTAATTCTATTCTATTACGTGGTGCAGATCTGGACCGTCTGTTAAGCCCGGCTTTGCGGCGGGCTTTSCAAGCCAGGACACCCAGGGAGGCGAGAGTGCATATAAGCGCAAGAGAGGAGAGGGGCACCCCGACGATGAGCCCAAGATTGGAAGAGTGCTTTTTGGACCCTTGACYGGCCGTTYGCRATGGASRAGAAGGAGAAATGGCGGTCGGATTGTCTGAGTTGAATGGACTCCGAGGAGAAGGAGRSGTAGAGAACGCGTCCCCAGAAGAGGGAGGAGGAATGGGGGAGAACGGAGGAGGAATGGAGAAGAAGGCGTCCGTTAGAGACGGAGGAGATGGCGAAACGGAGGAGGACGCAGCGGAATCAGTTGCAGGACGAGAAATAATCGAGGTGGACAAGTCGGAGTAAGAGGCAGAGGCAGGTGGAATGGGAGATGACGTGCCCCTATAAGGAGGAGAAGAGGAAACAGGCGAGGAGGACGCGTCCGAAGAAGAGGGAGGAGCAGGAGAAGACGGAGGGACAGAATAAGAGGGAGGGGCAGGAGGAGGAGGAGTAGACGAAGAGACGGAATTAGAGGGAGGAGCAGGAGGAGACGAAGAGACAGAATAGGAGGGAGGAGCAGAAGGAGATGAAGAGACCGAAGAAGAGGGAGGGGGCGGAGGAGACGACGAGAACGAAGAAGAGCGAGGAGGAAGAGGAGATGAAGAGACCGAAGAAGAGGGATGGCCAGAAGCAGACGACGACAACGAAGAAGGGGGGGAAGCACGAGAAGACGAAGAGACCGAAGAAATATTCTGTCTTGTAATGATCTCCCCCCCATCTGTTGCATATGAACATGTCGTTACCACCTCATGGCCCCCTGGACGAATTTGTGTAATGCACGCCGCCACCTGGGTCGATCCCGAGATTTTCGGGTTCTCAGGGTCGTCCCCTGTGCAGGACGCAAAAAGCATCAGCAGAACAAAAAAGGGACACGCAAGAGGACGAACTGAGAGATAGCGAAGGAGAGAAAGAGAGGGAGACAAGGACAGAAAGCGGGAGAACGGATAGACGGACAGGATTTTGCACGCATGGGGTGGATACTTTGGCTGCTCTGAATACTGAGAGAGGGCCGCCATAGCTTCAAAAAGGAGATAAATAGTCCGCCTTTCTTGAGAGGGGATGTAGGTCATCGTAGGTCACACACGTGGGATGACGATAGCTACACAGCTACTCAGAACTGAGAGCGTAGGACAGACAAAAGCAGTGAGGCGACGTGTTGAGTGAGGGAGCAGGAAGAAAGATGGGCAGGAACACATTTGAGAAAAGTTATAAGACCTCCCCGCGGCGAAACAGAACATATTTGAGAAAAGTTATAAGACCTCCGGGCGGCGAAACCTTCGAATTCATTTCACCCCAAACGGGGCAAAAAGTGCCGAAGGTCCCAAAATGAGCAGGTCCCAAAGTGAGTTTTGGCGTCAATTTTGCAAACCGCAAAACACTTTCCCGCCATTTTGCGGGCAAAACCTTTGAATTCATTTCACCCGAAACGAGGCAAAAAGTGCCGCAGGTCCCAAAATGAGTTTTGGCGTCACCCCGCACAACACTTTCCCGCCATTTTTGCCAGCGGCCGTTACCCGCCCAGCGAGGGTGTAAAAATGACATAAAAAGTCATTAACGGAAAGGTCATAAAACGTCCCCGCCATGAAACGTTTGTATCCACGTCCCCCCAAATGGGGAAAAAGGTGCCGCAGGCCCCAAAATCACTTTCGGGGCACACTTTCCCCCCATTTTTACACACCGGCCTTTACCTGCCCAGCCAGGGTGCAAAAATGACACCAAAAGTGAATTTGGGACCTGCGGCACTTTCTTTCCTGTTTGGGGAGAAATGGATACAAAGGTTTCGTCCCCGGGGAGGTGTTATGACTTTTCCCAAAAATGAATCCGGTGCAGATACAGGGCCAGGTCCATGATCCGGTATGAAGAGGGCCAGCAGCAGTCCCGACCCAATCTTGGACGCCAGATTTGTGCATCCCATGGCCTCTGTTGCCCGTGAGCACTCTTTACCAAGTAGGAAATGTTTGGGCACCCAAAACCAAGAAGGTTTCGGCATGGGCGCATTCCACCATTATCCCTCGATAGTCCTAGAGTGAGTATGCCCCGAGCAAGTTATTTCATGTTTGAAAAAAATGGGCTCAAATCTGTTGCTCGAGCTGATGGGAGCTGCTCCATGTCGAAGACGAGTGTAAGACCCTGATCCCAGCTCCATGTAGTGCTACAGTCTTCCCCCTAATACAACGTATGGTCATTATGGTGGAATTTGGGGTATCTTTCAGTCTAAATTCAGCTATAATGGCCCTACTGTAGGACAAGATGGAGTTTGGCATCTGTTGTGCATCTATGGGCCTCGCTGGGATACTCTCCACATGCTCAAAAGACAAAAGATATGGTGGTGTACCTTGCGATGTTCTAGGGAAGGATTCATTCTCATTTTTGCACATTTGGTGAGTGGTGGATTGAGGCAATGTAGCCATGATTCACGCCTTGCTCACCTACTCTCCACATGCACAAAAGACAAAAAACATGGTGATGTATCTTTCTATGTTTAGTCCAAGATTCATTCTCATTTTGCACATTTGGAGAGCAGTGGAGGGAGGCCCTCAGTCTATGTGAGGACTCCTGCACAGGAATTTTTCTTTTTAAAATTCAACTCAAATGTCAGATTTCATGTAAAAAAAGATATACTCGAGCCCTGGGATCCTCAACATTACACCCGGGGGCTTGGTCCCACCTGCGCATTTTCGTTGTAGGAGGCGGGCGCCTAAGGACCATGGATTGACACAATCGATAGTCCCTAGACACCCGCCAGTTGCTTCGTGGTAGCCTCCTACAACGGAAAGGCGCAGGTACCCGCTTGAGTTGAGCTAGCATCCGAGGCCATGTCCCACTTACACCTTCGAGTTGAGCAAGGTCAACCGTGTGTCACAGTTATTATGAATTAAAAATTCAAACAAATGCGGCAAAAGAGAAACAAATGCAGCTAAAAGCTTTTGTTCACATTTTCCAAAAAGTAATATGGCGAAAAAATTGCCGCTGAATGCTTTTGTCCATATATTCCAAAAAGTAAAATGAAGAAACAAAATATTCCCAGTCAAAGGCTCTGTGAACAGCACGTGGGCAGTTTTCTTGCCTCAGCGCATTCACAGCCCATGGGGAGGAAACCAATTTTTCTCCCACAGCCGTCAGAGTGAAAATAATAAGGCAGAACTCCGGAGAGACATCATCAACAGTATCTGTCAGATTCTTTTACTGCGGCTATCAGAGTGTTCTCCTCCCACAAAGAGGTAATGATTGTTCAGGGTTGGTGCTAACCCAGGCAAAACCGGTAGGTAGGGATGGGGCGTTGTACTCGGGGAATCATTTTCCTTTTCCTTTCTTTTTTTTTACAAAAGCAAGGCCGAAACTGTTTGTTAAATATACCAACGAATTCCACGGCCCCATCCACAGCAACAGGTGTGATCTTGGCGGTTGCCTGCCATCACACGCGTAATAGAATACTCATCCTTGAGCTGGTTAGTTCAAGGGCAAATTGCAGATATACTGCTTCAGAGAAGTATTGCAGCAAAAATACCCGTCTGCCCGTGTATTGTGACAAATATGCCTGCAAAGTTGTAGTAATACCGTTTTTGAAGAGTCTGTAATACACGGGCGTCGGGAACTACCTCCTTTTGCAACAGAGTCAACAGACGACCTGCCTGCCTTGGAGTGCTTGCCTTAGGGCCTCGCCACACCAGTGTAGAAGCCGTGAAATATTCGACAACTGTCAGACCATTTTCTACATTCAGGGTTTCGACACAAAGGCTGCCTTCGCCACACCGTATGTAGAAGACCCAGGATATTAAGCAAAGTTTCGTTGTTAGAAAAGGGGGCCAAAAAAAAAAAAGAACAAGAAGAAGACACGGGATGTTGAGGCAGCGCCAGTACCCGGACCCTGATAGATGTTGAAATCCAAAAAAAAAAAAAGAACGAGAAGAAGACACCGGATGTTGAGGCAGCGCCAGTACCCGGACCCTGATAGATGTTGAAATCCAAAAAAAAAAAAGAACAAGAAGAAGACACGGGATGTTGAGGCAGCGCCAGTACCCGGACCCTGATAGATGTTGAAATCTGCACATCCTTCACAACCTCGTTTCCAAGATGTTGAAACTCTACCCGCTGCAGGCAGGCCGTTCGACCCGCTGCAGGCAGGCCGTTCTGCACCCATGTCGAAACCACTCATGTCGAAACCACTTCTCCGACGATTGTCGAAGTGTTTTCGACTTTTTATCTTCGACAGTCTGTGTGGCGAAGAGAAAATGTTAAAACTCCAGTTTCGACATTGGTGTGGCGAGGCCCTTAGGCCAGGCGGACGGGGTCTCTGTCACGAAAGACGGTACAGACCTGTACCTGTAAATCTGCGTGGAAACTTTCCGAAAAGGGTGTTTCTGCACCTTTCCAGGAATATTTGTGACCATACAAACCGGTATTTCTGGAATTTGCCCCTAGTGCAAAGATGTAAGTTGGGCATGGGCCTCGGACGGTATCTGGACGCATCGTCCAGCTTAGCTTACAGGCATTGGACTGCAAGTCTTTCTCTGAGACTGCGCAGCTCCAAGGGCCACGAGGGCTAATTTTATGTTTTTGCAATACATACGGATTTCTCCAGAAAAAAATAAAAATAAAGCACCCTGAGACGTTAAATGCAGGGAATACTGGAAGGACTTCCTTTTTCCTTCTTTTTTTCGAAACAAAAAAGGTCGATGGCCTTGAGAAATGATGATTGAGCTGACCTGCCCCAGGTAATTCACAAAATTCCAATGCGGTCCAATGCGGTCAGACAGTAGGACTTTTTGGAATGAGCTCTGCCCACAGTTGGGGTCTGAGACATCAAAGATAGGGCAAAACTGCGATCACATGCATGCAGTAAATGTGAGTACGCCCTCAGAGACAGATAAATGCCCACAGCGTATTTGATTTTCTTTAAATCTTGTATCATTGAAATTTCTTTTATTTTTAAGTTTCATCTTTGCGCATGGGGCTCTGAAGGTTACAATCCTCAGGGCATACTCACACTAGGACGTTGTGCTCTTAAGCTGTGGAGGGGGGGCAAAACAGGGCGCACATACACACAGAACGTGCACAGAGCAGGGTGCACATACACACATTAACATGGACAGAGTCTCTCGTAGACAGCAATAGACAGCAAAACCCCCCACATGAACATGCACATAGTCTCTAAGCTGTGGACGCAATTGTGGTTAGATTCATTTGGGTCTGGCTGTTAATGCAGTCAGATACATTAAGAAAAGTCCTCGTGTGAGTATGATGCCCTAAGAACCCAACACTGCGCTGAGGAGAAGAAGACAGTCTGTACTCTCTTGCACCCACCAATGCACATTCTCCATGGACCCACAACGCACGGCAGTGGAACTCTGCCAACTGCTCCCTCAAAGCACGTTCTCAACAGCTCATGACGACTCAGAGGATAGCACACTAGGCCATTTGTGCATGTATTGGGCCGCAAGTACAGCCACACATGGATGCATCTGACCAGTGTCCGTTCATGAACGGGGGGTATGTGACCGGAGGCTAGTCACCGTTCGCGAGAATCCTGACCTGTCTCCGAACACGGCGATCACGGTGAGCGGGAAGGCCTTTATTGTTTTTTTTTTTCAAATAGGGCGTTGTTTTTTTTTACGCAAGGGGAGGGGTACGTGTTGGAGAACCCCCCTAAATTTTTTTATTTTTTTTTTTTCTTACTATTCATGTTTTTTTTTTTTTTTTTTTTTGCCAAACCCCCCCATGTGTGTGTGTGTGTGTGTGGGTGTGGGTGTGGGTGTGTGTGTGTGTGTGTGTGTGACGGCCAAGATCACACCTGGGGCCCGTCACCGTTGGTGCGTCCCCTTAAACTAACTAGCTCAACATGAGGGTATATCTGCAATTACACACAGAGAGAGAGAGAGAGAGAGAGAGAGAGAGAGAGAGAGAGAGAGAGAGAGAGAGAGAGAGAGAGAGAGCCTCATTGTGAGTGTATCCAACCCTGCCCGTCAGATTTGTACATTCGACCTCACATGTAGCCTACTTGTGGGCTCGAACGTATACATCTGACCGACAGGGTCAGATGCACTCACAAT